TGAAAGCTATGCTTTTGGTGATAAAAAAAGTTATACGGCTTATCTGAAAGACTACATGAAAAAGTGAGTTCAAGGCTGTACTTTTATTTTCTTGTGTAAAAGTGATTGCAATAACATTTATTTATATGTATATCTCTAATAATTCAATACCTCTTTCATCAAATATATTGTGACATTCTAAATTAAAAGAACCCTGCAAAATGTATTACATATTTAGAAGAGAAAAACTGGCTATGGGTGATACTTTGTGTGCATAAGAACGGGCATTCTATTTTGAAATATCCTATCCACCGTTAACCTCTTGTATATAAACTTAAAAATTAATTGATTAGCTGATTGATTTTAGAAAAAGTATTTATACAGCATTAGCCACTCTTTCTACAAATAAAAAAATATCAAAATGAAAATTATATTTCATAAAACCTAAACCTTGGCCGCATTAGATGTACACTGAAAAACCCTTGTATCTGGAAAAGCTAACAGCTTGAAGGCATGCTTTACAGTTCCTAAATCTCTCACATTAACCACTGCAAGGGAACCAATTTCATAAAATGTTTCAAACTTGTAACGCATTGGACCTCTCCTAAAAATGATTGGAAACAACTGATATTGAGATAACCATATTCTAACTAAGACAATGGGAGACTGTAGACAGTAAAATAAGAAAATGGAAATTACTAACCATTAATGCATGATAAGAAAGTTATTTGTTTTTTGCAAGATTTTAACTTTTCTTTACCAGATTTATAACAAATAATTCAGCAATACTTAATTATTTAAGGAAATAAATTTCTTCCTTCACAAAAATTACTTGTATTAATATTATACCATAAAACTTTAATTACCTTTTATTTGATAAGAAAGTAATTGATATTTACCTATTTGCATTCCAAGTTGTTATCATCAATCCTTCTGAAAACAAATAAGCATGTATCCTTCTCAGTGGAGTACTTTCAATAGAATCAATTTCCAAAATATCATCATCATGTAAAAAGAGAGGAGTAGATTCTTCCGAAAAGTTCTATAATCAAGGTCTATATTTACAAATGAATAATACCAAGATTATACTTAATAGCAATAATAAATAATTTGATTGAAATAAATACCACACATCCTTCCACTTTTTCTATAATTGTAGAAATTTTCTGCTTATTAGTTGTTTGCTCTTCATTCTCATCTTTTGCATTAAAATCTTGTTCAGAACGTAATTGCACATTATCATCTAATATTGATACTGAAGATACTGAATTTAGTAAGTTTTTATGCTCTGATAATAAATGAGAAAGTTGATACATTTCACTTTCCAAGTCTGTAATGCATTAAGAAAAAATAAGAAAACCTAAAACTTTGACTTTACTGAATAAACAAAAGGATACGGGATATTTCCTTGGCGGTATCAATGAATTGCATATAATTCTGATAAACATTTTTCTTTAATGTGTTGTTGGTATCTTCAGACAAATTATAAATTTTTGCTCTCAAACGAACTAGCTCTTGCCCACCAACACAATTTTGTGAAAGCTCTCTAACATCTAAAGTAAGAATGTTAAATATAATGTTAAGGATTAAAAATAATAAATTACATTTTTCTGGATTAAAATCAGATGATCCAAGTAATTTTAATGTTAGTTCAGCCATTCCAAACTTTAAATCAATTTTGTCGATAATGTCGAATTTATAAATACTTCAGGAAGAAGAAAGAATTAAACATTTTCGTTTAGATACTCAATAAT